AAAAATCAGGTTGAAATGTAGATCTTGTCCTAAAATTTATATTGGACAAACAGGTAGATCCTTCAAGAAACGCATTAACGAACATATAAGAGCGTTTAAAAACGATAGTCTAGATTCTAATTATGCTACACACTTAAACACAGAAAAACACATTTTTGACGACAATTTTGATATATTACATACAGCCACAAAAAGCAGAAAATTAAATTTATTGGAAGCCATGGAGATTAACAAAACGAGACATTCAAATGTATTGCTTAACGATCAATTAGATTTAAATACCTCTCCTTTATTAAACTTAAATTCTCGCAACAACATTAAGGTTTAATGGTCATTTTTCGGTATATATAGTAGCAGGTAGTTTGTAAATATATTTCATTTGATAAAGACACGGTGTTGTCGAATCAATTGTCATGTCATAATATATAATTTCGTGAAAATCTGAACTTTTAGTTCTTATTTATTTTGATAAATGGATTTTCATCAAGTAAAAGTCGCCTCAGTTCAATTAGTGGTTGAGATGTCCAGCTTCTTCAAATCTTTTTTTAATTTTTTAAAGAAACTTCCACAGGCTACCGTAATACTATTTTCAAATCTTCTGGATTCTTCCTAAGTCGGTTGTTGATGAACCAAACTTCTTCAGGGCTTAACCGAAACTGACTGCACCTGTTTATATATTGTGTGAGGGAGGACGGAGCTCAAAAAGTGGCAAAAATATTGTCTCGAATGACTGATGTCCATATTGGTGACAGGTATAGACATGAGTCGCTGTTTAGATTGTTTGGTTGCTTTGACATTTCTATAAATTATCGGATTTTTCGTTGGTAGAAGCAAGAATTTAAATTTTATTAAATCATATTTGATGTTCTATTTCGTGATTGTATTCGGCAACTACTGATGAGTTTGTCTTAGTCTTAAGGCTCTGTAATATTCTTTGCCGCATATAGATGGACTGCTGTAAACTGTAATCTCAAAGACAAGTGGTAAATCTGATTTTGACTTTATATTCCTTAAGAACTTTTGATATGCGGTGTGGTGTCTTCTGTTTCTTCTCAATGTGATCAAAATCTGTGCTGAGCATTCTTTTTTACAAAACCATAACTTAATTAAAATAGAAATTTTCTGCGTGACTTATATGGGGAAGCTTCATTATTCACGTCGAACTTTCATTTTTTCACTTCACTAGATAAAGTAAAAAATCACCTTTGGGATGTCCATTTCAAGGTGAAAAATGAGGAAAAAATATCGACCACTTTGTTAATCAGCATACTAATTCTCGGTTTCAATTGTGGAATCGCTCACCGGTATTCCGCGTTTGTTTCGAAATACCCCTCGTTAATTCCCTATTTGTTGGGAAATTGCGATTATTACTACTGCATTGTTTTCACTCCGCTTTGTTTCTGGCGAAGTCTCAAACCACCTCGGCATATTCTTTAACGACAATAGTTGGAGCAACATAGCGGATAAGAGGAGGTGGGGGCGAATCCACCCCCGAATATTCCCAATTAAAATAGTACATATAACCATGGATTAATTAAGTCTACATTCAATTCGATTACCCTCGTCCGCGACACTAAACAAAGATAGACGAACGACGGCCCCGAAATCGCACAAGTTGGGCATAGTCTGGCTTCCTCCCTCGGGGAAACAACTCAAGATTGAATATGAAAATTTAATCAGGTAATTTCATAGGGGATGATGCTTCAGTGCTCCGCTTTCGCGAGAGCCTACCCTCCCGTTCTTTACTTACTCTTAGAGGCTTTTACAACGCCACCTTAGTTCATTTAAAATATAATTATCAACAAACTAGCTTATCATCCAATTTGTTTTCCGCTTCAATCGCAAAGCAATTAGTTTTGCGAGAGCAACATCTTCACGGCGTTTCCGCGCGAACGGGCACGAGTCACAATAACTATCAACAAAAGCGAGCGTTTCGTGTGATTGTTATGATGTTTGCGTCATATCGCTGTAGTGAACATAAATGGAATTCGCAATATTCGTAATTATATCTGTTATTGGGCCGTAAAGGAATTGAACTCGACGGCGTTAATTAGAAGTCCGTATAAGTTACATTCTAACCTGCCATTCGGTTTAGAGATGTTTTAGGCCAGGGTTCGGATGTGCAACTGCACTGTTAGGCGTCACGGATAAGGTTGTTAGAGTTGCTTATTATAAAGCCTTTGCTTACTTCGCTACGTTTACTTTACGGTGTTTCACAAGTATTTCATCAGTCAACGGGCCTCTTCATTTATTATTTGCATTCGTCACATAACATCTTGTTTGCAATATTGTATTATACGCTTTTACGCGAGGATTCCCGCTATTGTAATAATTTCTTCCATTTTCTAAATCCGATAAAAATAATAGAACATTTAAAAAGATAAATGGAGTTTTCCAAGGAGAATAATTGGAGACTAATTTAACAAAATATTATTTGATAAAGTGCGTGGGAATTGCTTATTGGAAAGACTGGAATTTTTTTCAATAAAACTATACGTCATGTTAAAGACAAGGTTGACTGATTTGGAGGGTGCAAATATCGTGTTCGCAACATTTCCAGAAAGTTTTTTTGCTCGACTTAATAGGATTTTTTTCCCAAACACTTATCAACGAACTAGTAATCTCCATGTCATTTAAACCTTTCCATAAAATGCAGAGCGCGATAACCACGGATGCAAGTGGCATGCAGTTATCTAGGCCAACACGTATCAGGGGAGCTTCTCCTAGAGGTTTTACTTGAACTGTTGTATTATTATTATTATTAATATTTTTAAATTTTTGTAAAACCCTGCCTACATACATGGCACGGGGCTTAGCTATGAAACTATACTGCTCAATTAATATTCGCTTTAAAAAGGTAAAGTTAAATGTAAAAAGGAATGCCTTAGTTATCGAGAAAGAAGAAGAAGAAAAAATGAAGTCATCTAATACCTTGGAGGCGCGAGAAATACGGAAGATTGGAAATTTCTTAAAGCATTGAGACAAGATACAACACAGGATATTGTTTTTTTGAATAATGGGAACGGCACAAAAAACATCACTACAATAGGGTCCCGTTAGGACTAGAATATAAGGAAGTGAAGGAAGCATGTAAAACCCTGAAAAATAAAAAGGCGCCGGGACCAGGAAACATTGCATGGGAACTTTTCAAATATGTTAAAGTTGTGTGCTTTATTAACTCAACTCTTGGAAAGGTGTTTTAATGGCGCACAAATCAGGAAAGAATGGCCTCTCTTTCTGATTTCAACAATACATAAAAAAGATAACAAAATGAAATGTGGCAACTACCGAGGAATCTCAGTCACGAGTACGATGAGTAGAGTGTATGCAAAGATAATCAACAGCAAACTAGAGGGAAAGTACAGAGGCATGGAAACAGAAGAACAGGCTGGCTTCCGAGTAGGGAGATCTATATTGTCTCCTACAAATTATGGAGAAAAAAATAGCTTTGAATCAAGAACTATGTGTGGTATTTATAGACCTTTAGCAAGCATACGGTTCTGACCCGCATGATGAAATTATGGGAGGTCTCGAATATACCAACATTAGAGTCAATCTTATTAAACCTATTAAAAAAATTACAACAAATCGAGGCAATAGTGAAAGAAGAGAAAATACTTAATAAAGGAATAAAGGATAATAAAGGACTGAGACAATGGTATAGTATTTCTTCAACATTATTTAAAATACATTTGGAACAAGTCCTGAAGAGGTGTAAGGAAAAATGTAAGAATGTGGGAATACCATTGGGTGAGCAAATGTTTTGTGGACAATCAGGTAGTCTTGGCTAAATATTATGATGACATAGAGTACATGACAGGAAAGGATATTAAAGAATACAATAAATGGGGCGTGGAAGTGAACATCAATAAAACAGAATATATAGAAGGAGATTCACTAAACAGTACACTGTGGGATCAGAGGATCTCAAAACAGAACAAACAAAAAATTTACAACCCACTTACACAACTTACAAATAACAATGGGAATCACACACAAAATCATTGATGATATAAAAACGAAACAACTCCGATGGTATGGCCATGTACAAAGAATGGGTAAAGAAAGACAACCAAAACAAACTATAAGATTAATTCCTCAAGGGACAAACAAGAGAGGAAGACCCAGGCGAAGCTGGATAGAAGATAGGAAGGATAGAACGATAGGGAAAAATGGCGCTTGGGTATCGGAAGACGGCGGAAAACGTTATGAAATCGATGTAATAAGAGAAAGGTACGTACCACACCGGCACGACTGGCACATAAGTCGAGAGTCAGGGTGGCATTTCGATTTGTAAGTCGACCTGACCAGCTGTTACGAAAGTCATAAGGCAAAAGTAACCAATTCAGTACGAGAGGTCGCCGTCCGGCTATAAAGTAGATGGAGTTTCAAAATCAATGGTGTTTATCATTCGCATGAGGCTTTGGTTGAAATTTTGTTAAACCCGATACTATTTTCGTATTTGTAATAGCTTATCTATCTATCTGTCAATAAAAAGCGTTTCATGAAACGGTTTCGTCTCTAATTGTGTGTAGTCATGTTTTCACAACGACTTGAAAGCACAGGCTGATCTTATTCTACAGAAACAACATCGCAGTTGATTGCATGGGAGACCGAGTGGAATGGAGGAGACTAACAATAATTTCGCTTTTATGGACGCAGTAACATTCAATAGCGAAATCTCCCGGATTTGCGCATTATTATTTCTGGATTATCATCCGGCTCACAAATATTCTGTTAAAAAAAATTAATTAAAATTAACTTAAATTTAATCAGCTTTAACAAGTTTCCGCTCGCTGCGAATAAACCAGTCCGATAAGCAGCCTCGTTAGTTTAAAAATACGCCTCCGGTGCGAACAGAGAAGCACAATAAATCCCTCTCCATTATAAACTGCATTTTCCGATCCTATCGATTAAGCCATCTACAAAACAACATCTCGGTGAACCTGTTACCTAGGCTTTGCGTCATTATGATCCCACGTTTTTTTTCTTCTTTTCAGACGATATCGAACGATCCTATAGGTCGAACGATACCGAGGACTCCGTGACAACCGACAACCAGACAACCCCTTTCCCATCGTCGACCCCTCAGATGGTGTCTCCGATACCCCTCCATCGGCAAGCTTCCCCGTTTCCGCTGGAAAATACTAATACCAGACGAATACACTATCAGACTCCAGCTCAGGACAGACTGCGGAGCGCTAATGGTAAATTAATAGGAATCTGTTTCGGATTAATCACACGGACGTGGCCGTCTGTTTGCCCGAACGGACGGCGATCGATTTTTCATTCGCGTTTCCTTCGAGGTATATTCAGATTTAAGTCTGAAATGATTATGTCGGGTGTTTAAAATCCAACTTTCAATTTTGAAGTCTCTGAAACGGCCAGAGTTTACTTTAAAATTTAACAGGAATCTTCGTGCGTCTCCTTTGCCGAATTTATAGATAACCAACCATCAACATTACTTTTTCCTAATCTTAGGATAGTTTTTTTAGTTAGCATTTTCAATTTTACAGGAAATACCATGCTTCCGTGAACAAAAGTTCTGAGTTCTCAAAACGTTGTTATATAATGCTAATCTAACATTCAGGAATGTTCGCATAGACAACAAATGTGTATTGCAATTTCAAACAAAGCACCTTTTATTTTATTACACAATTTTTGTTAGATACCGTATCTATCGTAACGTAAATAAATTTAAGTATTACCAGCCGGAACAGTTGTTGATATAAAAAGATTGCGAAATTAACCGAGTTGTATTCATGCCATTCATGGAGCATCAAAGGGTCGACAAATAAATAGTCATAAACATATATTTCGTCACTTCTTATGAGCTTTGTCACAGGCGTACAACTAAAAGAGGTCGCATAAGTCATTCATAAAAATACCTTTTTCTACTCGCTTCTGTAAAATTCATAATTAGGCACCTATCTAGCATACGGAAAGCGTCGCTTTACCACGTGTTCGGACATTTCCGGGATATTACCGCACGGGTTTGGGAACAATCGGATGTTTTCAGAGATTTTACCGCACGACTTGAATTTTGACGTTTGTCAATTCTGACAGTCATGTCAGTGAATGTATTCGTGTTGTTTGGAAACAAGTGTGGTAAACGGTATTTGAGTCACTTATTTATTTGGCACTAGCGGAGCAAGAAGTTCTAATTCATTCACTCACATGACCGACGGAAATGACAAACGTCAAAATTCAAGCCGTGCCGTAAAATCTCCGAAAACATCCGATTGCTCCGAAACCCGTGGGAACACCACAAATGATCGAAAATCCCGAACGACGTTCGGTCGCTTTTCGGAAAGTCTCGGTAAATCTCGCCTCTCGCGAGGGATCTTGATGTAGCAGACGGTCAAAAGGCAGACTTTGCAATTTGACAGTCGATACTAGATAGGGTTAATCCGAATACGAATGAGGAAAACAGTGCTTGTTTTAAAGATACAAGACGTACATCGGTTGCTAAATCCGCACAAGACACATGAATTCTTATGCATTCGGTCAATTATTGTTTCCAAAAAAATATAGGTTAATTTTATCGAAGGGTGCTGCGACCCGCATTCAAAAAAATATTTTTTATTAACCCCTGAGTATCTTTTGAATATTTTGTTGTCATTATCTCTATTTATTACAGCCACCGGCTAAGGTAAAGTTGACGTCTATCAAATCAAATTTATAAAAATTTTATGAATGACAATATCCACAACAAAATTCATTTTTTAGCAAAATAGGTGGGGTTTACAGCTGATGATGATGAATTCACTGTGCAATTTGTTCTAGATAGTTGCGAGTGAGTCTTGGGATAACACACATTTATGAGCCCTTACCCCTAGCCTACTTTACAAATAAGATGGGGCATTTCCTATAGCCACATGAGAATCATAAAAATGTACTTATGGTGATAGAAGAATACTTTAAATCTATAGCATCGTGGACCTGGTTTCTGTACTCACAGCCCCAAAGCAGCCCAGAAATATCCCTAGTGGCCCCATCAAATCTTTTGTTGTTGAATTGGTGTAGCAGAAAATATTTGTACTGATTGTTCTCTTTTATGATGTAAAACTGTTCAAATGGTTAAAATGAAACAAAAAAATTAAGCACAAGCATTTTAATAATATAATATTATTTAATTGATGGTTCCTATTAACTTATGCAAAGGTAGAGGTTACCTAGCGGAAAAATATAAAATACTTGCTAATCCCAGAAAAAAATCAAAATTTATGCCCATATTTGATGCAGGGTAGGTCCAACAAATTGGTTAATATCCTTTCATACAGGACCTTGCGACAAAAATGGCTCATGCCAAGCTTCTTTGCCAAACTGTATAACCAAATTAATATCTAGGTCACTCGCTTGTTCCCAGAGCTCTAGTCAAGTCTTTCTTTCTTTCTGCCTAGAGGTACATACTGAGTTGATGGAAGTATGGCACCCTTGGCATTTCTAAAATTACATTAACATAATTGAAATTTATTAATACTTACATAGTTTCAGTCATACAGTGTAATGTACTACACATTTCTAGAAATATTTTTATTACTAATAACTTCTTTACCTTGTCGCAACTCTATTGCATATATTCTTTTGGTCTCCTTTTTTACACATGCTTGCAACTCCTGTCTTGTATTTGGTCCTTCAAGTGTTCATGATTGTTGTCACTTCCTTAAGATGAATACACCGTTCTCTTCAACTTTTCCTGATGCTTGTTATTTTGTTTCTGTGCTTCTGAGATATCATTTTGGAATAACTTGAATATACATATATTTATTAACCTTTAATCCTATAAATTGAATAATGTTATAAAATATGACGTTTCTGCATTAAACATGCAAAATGCCTTTTTTGTGAGCTACTATAAAATATTAAATCAATTTTACCTCGTTCCGTTACACCTTCTGCATGAATAATACATAAAGTCGTGATTAAAAACTATTTGTTAAGGGGTTATGTTCCTGTTCTGCATTACCCTATGAATTTACAATCCACAATTAACTGAATTCCTGTGTAAGAAAAGTAATAAAATGTTAAATTATTTTAAATAAGTTTGAAGCTTGATATCCCTATAAAAATTGGTGGTTCTAACCTAAACATTCTGTCACTCGATCACGTATATGTCAGGACTCAGCTGTTGGCGGATCCGCTGTTACAAACCACCTCCCGCTCGAACTCGAACGCCGTTCGGGATTTTCGATCATTTGAACATTCGTTCATTTGCTACCATCTCAAACCTGTGCGGTAATATCCTGGAAATGTCCGAAGTGGCTCGGATCCGTGGAAAGCAAAACTGATGTGGTAAAATGACACTTTTCGCGCGCTAGATCGGTGTATAATTAGGTATCTTACAGAAGGGAGTAGAAAAAAAATAGTAGAGTGCTCCAATGGGAATAATTACTTTAATTTATGCCTTTAAATACATGAAAATAGTATCCTGTGTATGTTACGTTCGTAAAAAACCCCGGCAGTGTCCGACACATGCAAAATTCTGTATCAATGAGTTTTGTGGTTTCGCCAGATAACGCGGCAATATACGAAAACAAATCAAGAGTCAAAACGGCAAATAACAAAAATTTCAATACTATTAAGAAATTATTAAATAGGTTTTATTTATATTTATAAACCTGTACTTTATAAAACAAGCATTTTTAGGGTCTATGAACTCTTTTTTGGGATGACGAAGCTCTAGCGTAGCGATGTCGCACAACACGCTGTATATTGAATATATTTTCTACCAACGACAACTAAAACATCTAAGATGTAATTTAATAATTTTTTTTCTGGTTGTTGAATTTTTGGTTATGTTCGCTTGTTGTTAGCAGTATCTAGATCTCAACAAAAATCTCCAACCTATGGCGATTTGTTCCAATCTTATGCACGCTAGGTAAATTTTCTTTACTATCAAACATTTTAAATAACTCCTCATGAAATAAAAATAAATTTTTCTACTCCCGTCTGTAAAATATCTAATTACGCACCGACCTAGCGTGCGGGAAGCGTCACTTTACCACGTCAGTTTCGTTTCCCGCGAATCCGAGCCACTTCGGACATTTCCGGGATTTTACCGCACGGGTTTGGGAGCAATCGGATGTTTTCGGAGATATTTCCCACGCTTTGAATTTTGACGTTCGTCAATTCTGACCGTCATATCAGTGAATGTATTCGTGTTTTGCGAAAATGTGTCCAAAAACTAACGGTCGTAGAAAAAGTATAAACTTTTTAACTCACTCGTTTATTAAACACTCGCTCCGCTGGTGTCAAATAAATTCGTGAGTCAAATGCCGTTTACCGTACTTGTTGCATAATATACTATAAGCTAAGTTCAGCTAGGAACTTGCCAATAATTATAAATAGTGACCTACGGTTTCGTGAAAAATGTCTTATACAAAAGGCATACATGTCACTAAAAACTTTATATAGTAACAGGCATATTTTTTTTTTAATTTTAAAATAGGGAATCACTTGCTCTCTCAGATTTACACTACTCTGATGTGAATTATGTTTTTTTTATCGATATTTAGTCTAGACGCTTTATTCAGAGGCTGCAGAATGTTTGTGTACGTTTTATTATGGGTTTCCGAAAATATTATCATGTATCTGCTGCATATCGACAGCTTAATTGGCTTCAAATGGAACAAAAATGTGCTCTACATTTCAACATGAAAATTTTGCGTAATTTAAGCAAGGTACAGAAAAAACATAACAATGTAACGGCTTCAGAGTGCTTTGTTTTAGAGATCATTTGCATTCAACGAGATTCATTGTCACAAAAATTCATTAACTTAAATTGAAATTCATTTAAAAATTGTACAATGATCATCGGGTTGAAATACAATTTTCCTAAGTCGGATATTGTTATTGTTGCTTTTTCAAATTCTTCGTTACTCGTTCTGGTCAGTGTCTTTTTTTTTCTATTCTGTTCCGATTTTACAGGTATTTTCTATTGTTTCAGTAGTAAATTAATATTAATGTGTAAGTACATTTGAATAAATAGTGCTCAATTGCGCCACTATTGAGCTCTCTGATTAGTTTCGGCTGGGTGTAAAATGCTGATATGTTGATATGATATGATATGATATGATATGCTGATATAATATGTTGTTTCTTTTCTTTTTAAATGAAGGTTCTTATTCATTATTATATTTTCATATTTAATCTGAAAATTTTACATATTTCCGCTTTTCTTTACTTTTTCCTTGAACTTATCATACAGCAGGAATATACCCCACATCCGCCACCAACGTAAATTTTGAAAATTCTGAAAATTTCTCTTTTTTCGCATATCAATTTTCATATTTTCCTTGCCAAAACAACAACATTCTTTACTCAAAAACAGGGCGTTAAAATGTAAGAGAGTTACTTGTCCATATTCCATACTTTTGAACGACAACGAAGTCAAGTTCTGGGGTGCGTGTTATGTGTAATAGCGATGACCAATAATTTTTACGCCCTCGTCGAATAAATATACTGTTACATTTTTACAATTCCCATTCGCAGGAGACTTAATCTACGGAACGACGAACAAAAAGTCAATATCAAACAGCACGCTGGGCAGATCGGGAAGGCGACACAGGATTGGGGGCATGACGTCAAGTAGCAGCGCGACTTCCTGCAGCAGTAACTGCAACGACAATATATTGCAGCCCAATGGGGATATCTCGTATCACGAGCAGCAACCACGGCTGAGCCTAAACAATGGTGAGATTCCTTGACTGTATTGTTTCGGATATCTTTGTATGCAGAGGAAATAATTTACATGTCAGTGTAGAGAAAAATCTAACATAGTTAAACCAACCGAGGAAGCAATTATAAATCATTAATTTTATGATAAATTGCCCTCGAGCCTTTGATACATGTACAAGATGGTTGTTCAACTTGTATCCTTAGATGGTCAAACAGAACGCTACCGAGAAACCTAACAATCGCTATATCTATTAAACGATCTTTCTAAAGCATCGGAATATAATGTCGTCAAATATCTGTTATATGGTTAGTTAGTTTCCATAGTTAATTGCCCTTGATCCTTTAATATATGGCAACTCGGATGTTTTTTTATAACTTTTATGGCCCAAAAGGACGATCATGATCTTACGCGGTTACATTGCACGCCAAAGCGGGTATCCCAATAAGAGCACCGATGTACTGGATAATAAAAATTGCATAATGTGAATGTAAAGTGTGAATTAGTTATAATTTACATAATTAATGTATATAATTAAATTAATAATTATGGTTGCTGTAAGCGTTAAAATGGGATTATCTTCGAATTTCAAATAGCTTTATAATATGTGGCAATTTATTTCAGTACAATTAATTGGCGTGACAAAAGTTAGCAGACTGCCAAGGGAAAACAACAATAGATTAGGCAGTTTATGACGACATAAAACAAGTCTTAGTAATAAAAGAAATATGTTTTGTCAGTTTTCCGTCTATTTTTTTATATCAGCAGCATGCTTTGGACTCTTTAAACAGCTTGATATTTGATTTCCATATTATTAAATTTTTTAAATATTTGAAACCGTTACACTACAGATCAGAATCTATAAAAACTTGTACTCTTTGTACAGGAACTTAGGAAGTGTACGCCCTCGTTCCCGGTCTAGACTCGTAGTCATAATCAAAATTTAAGAGTGACAAATTTACTTAACAAATCTAAACGTAAACAACAGCAACTTAAAACAGTTTCTATTTTGAAGCTCCGTCACTTAGACAAAAAGTAAAAAGATCACTATACAAAAAACTCTACAAGGATACGTCATATGGTATTATAATCAGAGCAATTATTGTTAACTCTTGATCTGTTATTTAACATGTGATTACTATATGTATTTACAGTTTTGACAGCTGCATTCAGACCTTTCATCTATTACGCCGCACATCTTTGCTCCATCTTCTAGAAATACCCTGTACGCTCCAAGGCGTAGTCAATTGGAGTTTCCTGTTCTTAACGTAGCCTAATTGTTCTGTCGTCGTGCAGCCCCCCTGATATGGAGGTGCCCCCTTCGATTGCTTCTGCAAACTTATTTATCCAGCCCGCTTTTCAGCACACTGTTTAAGGTTCTCAGCCAGCTCGTTGCCCTCAATACCCACACGAGCGGCTACCCAGAGGAGATTGACGGAGTTACATTCCACTAGTTTTGTCAATATATTTTATACGTCAAGTGGCAATACCAATATCCCCCTGACTGAGAAAAGATCCAGGACAGGCGCATGACTATCGCAACAAATATTGTTCGAGTACCATCCGTTGAGGTTCTCGTCAGCACACAACAATATCGCGCAAACCTTTGCTTGACACTAACTAGATCACCATTGGCACAGTTATTTGTGCCCTAGAAAAACTGCCATACATAGCAGTTCCTGTTCCTGTATTTGTTTTGAACCCATCCTTGTGTAAACTAATCTGCGACCTAGAAAAACTGCAATATATGGCTGCTCCTGTCCCTGTGTTTATTTTAGAGCGACCCTTGTATAGACTATCCCGCGGGATACAAGAACATTTTGTCCGATATAAAGCCTTTGTCGGATTGCCTCAATCCAGGAGTTGCAGTGTTAGGGCCTAGGGCAAAAAGAATACATTGCATTCTACAGGGTTTCTCATCTTAGCCGTTCTAATTTTCTAATTTTATTCGATTTCATACGGATTAACAAAAATCCGTTGAAATAGGTTAAAGTTGTAGCAGATCGATGCAGAATTGAATTCAGCATCTTATTGTCCAAAAACATGAAATGTGAAAAAAAACTTTTCGACTCTGAAAATAATCTAATCGGATGTCTAATTTTGGACGCCCCGTATGCGCTTAATCAGTTGTATTACTCTCCTGCTTTAGTTTATTGCAGGAGCGTGTATTACCAATCAAAAAAGGCCCACTGTTATTTTTTTTATATCAGGAAACCTGATGAACAGATGAATAAACTCATAAACTTGTGTAAACGGTGTAACCGATAGTGGTGTTAAATGAAAGGAAATCTTGGATATGCCTAAGTCCCAGTATTTCATGCTTCTAAGTTTTTTCTAACCTCAAAAACTTCTAATGAACAGCAGCGAGGAACGTGGTATTGAGAAGTATGGCTTTGGGCTTAAAAAATTTGGAAGAATTTTTTTTTGCTTAATTGTAATAATTTTCTTGTAGGTTCGGATGTTTATGTCACTTGTATTTGCAGCTTGTATTTTGACGTAACATTTGATGTTTTTCTGCACAAATATTCACAATGTCAAGAAAATTAAGTAGTATAAATAAATATTACAATTATACACTGATTAAGTTTCGTTATTCACTGTGTGTTTGGGCGCCATCAGATGTTTTCGGCAGATTTTAACGTTTGACGTCCCCCAATCAATGTTTTGGTTTAATAGCCTTCTTCATTCCTCGTTTACTAAGCACTCGCTCCGCTACGTTTCGCTCTTAACAAAATCACAATATAGTGACTAAAATATCAAACTTAACATAATATGCTATAAAGAATTTTATGCTCTGGTCTATAAACAATTATAAAAAATTTGTAATCGCACTTTCCAGAGTTCCAATTCCAGTGCCATATTATTCAAGGAATTTCATTTTATCCGGAAATAAAAAATGTCATTTGAATAGATCGCAGATCGTCATCTCGAACCGAACTTCCAATACGTTCAGGAAGCAGGTAGATTTAGTGTTTATCTTGGATTAATCAATTTAAGTAGTCCCGCTCGCTCAGGCTGGCGCTGCCGCCTCCGCCTCCCGCTCAACAAATAAAGAAAGGGATTGTAAATAACGTCGGTATTCTCCTCGGACTCGCGCTGCAGACGAGTAATACCCACGGAAACGACATAATCCGGTTAACTGATGCGAGATACTTGCAGTGGCGCCACCTATCTGGTTTTAAGCTAATTACGAGTCGTCATTCATTAGCATAACTGCGCTGCCGGGTTAATTTCATTATTGAAGTTAGTGTCGCCAACTCCGTTCAATAAAAGCATTTTAAACCTGATTAGTTCTGAAAATTGACGTTGTAGACGTGGGGTTTTATTGCACCCGCGAAAACTTTTGAGCCACTCGGACTGATTGAGATTCGATTTAATGAAGGTCGACTCTTACAAACGAACGAGCCACCCACCTATCCCAATAAATTTCAAGTTTAATTGCCAAACACAAAAGGCGTCTGTTCTGAATTACCCATAGTGGTTTAACTTGAAACTAGTGGTGTTGAATCGCTGAATCGTATGTTCTAGTCTAAAGCCACCGTAGCTATCAGACTTTATACCTTATACAAATCTTCCAGTCTTCAAACTGCTCATAAAATTTTAGGAGAAAGATATAGAGAAACCTTAATATACTTTATTTTATTTCAACAGTACATTCTACAAATAAAACGGTATACGGGGAGCGCCATTTTAATTCAGTAAGACGAGCACATCCTCGTATTTCGTGAGTAAAATTTAAACAGTAAATTTAAATTATAGCTCTGATCGGCAGATAATTCTATCATCGATAGTGATTTACTAGTACCTAAGTATACAAGGTGTTATAACATTAAGTATAATACATAAGTATAAATATTAAATTAAGTATAGAAAAGTAAGTTTTTTATTAATTCCACCAAAACCATTTAGTTAATTTTGACAAAAGTTGGCACTCTTTACCAAACCCTATTAACCGGCACAGTGCTGCCCAATCTCTGTAAATGGCCCCACCAGAAAAGTTGTTTCTTTTCTATGAATTCTTCTATGGATTCCACCTTTAACTCTTCTCTTATATGTGCATTTCTAATTTTGTCCCTTCTGGTTATACCTTCAAGTATTTCATCTCTGCTACACCAATTTTGCTCTTGTCCCTATCTGACAATATGCAAGACTGTAAATTGTTTTGTAAACTTTCGTTTTAATTTCTCTGGAAATTTCCTTTTTATTTATGAGCACCTTGCTCAATGCATTTATTTGCCTTTTATATTCTATTTATTTCTGTATCATTTCCTCCTGTTTCTTCGAATATACTTCCCAAGTGCTGGAAGCTACTAACTTGTACTATTAGTGCCTTCTCTTTTTCGTTTAACATAACTTTGGTTTTATTTATTTTCATTTTCATTCCGTTTTGTGTTAGTATCGGATCCCAATTATTTAGATTTTCGTCCAGATCCTTCGAGGATCCTGTTATGATGGTTATATCATCAACAAGTGCACATTCCGATATATTGATACGTTCTAGTTATCGGTATCCAACATAAAGGGCTTTTGATCGCTGTTCTGCCAGTACTCCAAGTACATAAAATACTATTTTTCTATTTCATTAGTTTTTTAAATTAAACTATGCATGAAAAAATCAACAATCAATAAAACACAGTTGATTCTAAAAAACTTGACGCTGTTATATCACCTGTTCTTTTAAAGAAACAGGCTTATTTGAAGCTAATAAATATGCCCTTAATATCTTTGAACGGAATTTTGAAACGTCTGTATTTTAAGACGGCGCTAAACATTTTGCATATGTCCAAAAGCAAATAAAGCATAATATTATTATTGTTATGATTATTATTACTATCTCTGGACATCATGACATCGTAAGCTGCTGTGAATAGTAATTTTTGTTCAATTTCATATAATAGATTTCCATTTAAAGTATCAGAACTGACAGAAGGCGATGATTTCCCGTCTCATGGTGTGTACGATTTATTGAAGCTTTTTTCTCTTTATGCTTTTAGCTAAATTGAAATAAGTACAAGCT